AACCTTGCCCCTTGTCAGCTCTACTATACACCTGGGAATTCTGATCATTCACATGAACTTATTGGCCCATTGTCTGCCAACCCTATATATGATCTTGGATACCCTCTCCATTTAGACATACCTAATTGTTTAGCTTGTTCACCTATCTGTCCATCACAGGGGAGTTTTTTAAAGGAGCACAGTACTTACAGATGATAATCATTATTTTTGGGCCAATTTATTATTTAGCTACAAGGTTACCTCAGGGATTAATTTTGGTTCAGGGTTTGAAGAATATCTCAGTGCAGTAGTCTCAGGGAGTCCTCCAGTCTCAACCAGTCTATGGGAACTTTTTGGAATTTGATGTTCTGTTCCCCATTTTCATCCCATTCTCTCAGGGTCTGTCTATTGTGGCCCTGATTAGAATGGTTGGTAATGGTAGTGGTAGCCGGGCACCATGTAGTTCTTCTGGTCTCAGGGTGGATGAGGCCATGGTTTGTTTGGCTCTTGCTATTGATGTCAATGACTGCTTTTGGGCTGATGATGTTCTGAGCTCTAGGTCTAGGCTAGACCTGTCTTCTGAGTTCCTGGCTCTTGTATCCAGCTTTCTATAAAAACCAAAAACACCAAACTCATTGCCATTGAGTTGATTCTGACTCATAACAACCCTCTTTGGGTTTCTGAGGTGATAAATTGTTAAAAGAAGTAGATAGCCCAGTCCTTATTCTACAGACTGGCCGGTGAGTTTGAGCCACCAACCTTCTGGTTAGCAGTCAGATGCCTTAGGCACTTTGCCATTATAGTTCTTTCTCTTGGACAAGGGACTTTAATTTTCCTCCTCAAACTCATTATGGCTTAAATGGATCTCAGCATCCTTTACTCTATATACTCCCTGGGTTTTTCTCTGCTGTGATGTGTTTCACACATTCTCCCATCACACCTGGTAGTTATTGTTTGGATACTGGTGGTTAATCTGAAGTCACAGGCTTTGCTGTTGTTGTACCACTGCAGACCCTCTGACTTTAGTCTGGGCAATGCATATTTTACATGGACTGACTTCAGGTTTTATGATGTCATATATCACACAGAACAATAGATGTTGCAGGTATTACAATGCAGACCATTTCTCTGTTTAAATAAAGAGGAATTTGTCTGGCTGATGAATGTGTTACCTGAACTTACATAAATGACTTTTGTAAATACGTGGTTTGTGTTTGAGGGATAAACCTATATACATATTCATGTACTTAAAATCCACTATTTGGGCCTTAGATTTAAAACAAAAATTTTTTTGAGGCCCTCTGGTGCCATAGTGCCTAAGGCATTTGACTGCTAACCAGAAGGCTGATGGTTCAAACCCACCAGCCACTCCTCAGAAGGAAGACTGGGCAATCTACTTCTGTAGTGATACTGCCTCGGAAACCCAAGGAGGGGTCGATATGAGTTGGATCTGACTCCATGGCAGTGAGTTTGGTTTTTTAGTTTTTATAAAAGGCCTCTGGTATAGGATTAAAGAAGTTCCTTGAGCTAAAAATGAGAGCCTTAAAAAGATTATTAAATATTCAAATGGAAAAATATATAAAACACAAATTTACTATGTAATAAACTTGTTACTTGTGAGGCAACCACCCAGGTGAGGAAAGATAATACTGCGTACAACTCACAAAAGGAGCCCTGGTGGTGCAATGATTAAATGCTCTACTTGCTAACTGAAAGGCTGGCAGTTCAAACCCACCCAACCGTTCTGAGGAAGAAAGGCCTGGAGATATGCTCCTGTGAAGATTACAGCTGGAGAACTCTTTGGACCAGTTCTGCTGTAGCACATAACAACTTACCAGGCTTCTGTTGTCCCTTCAACATAATTCAGACTTTCATGATAATAATTTCCTTGCCTTTAATTCCAGTTTTACTCCCTCAGACTTTGTATGCATATGTAAACATACCATTTGTGTTCTTTTGCAGCTTGCTTTCATTTATGTGAGATTTCTCTGTATGTGAGATTTATTTGCATGTGCTCCTGTAGTTCTTTCATTGCCATTGCTATGTCATATCTCATTTTATGTTCCGTAGTTTATTACTTTTTTTTTGTTGATGGATATATAAGTGCTTTTTAGTCTTTGGCTGTGCAAAGACAGCTGCTATAAACGTTTCTGTGTATGCCTTCTGGTATGCATCTGTCTGTGTTTCTCAAGAGTATATTCCTGTTGGAAGAATTGCTGAGTTACAGAATAGGGATGTTTTCAGCTTTGTTAGATAATACCAAGCTGTTTTCCAAAGTGATCATGTCAGTTTATGAGTGTCGGGTTTGGTTGTTATAAAAGTGTGGCCTGTGTCAGTGAAAGCAAACATGGGTATATGGACGGATAGATAGGTGGACAGGCTAAACAATTAAGTATGTCTAAATGGGGAGTGTATCCAAGATCATATATAGGGTTGGCAGACAATGGTCCTATAAGTTTATGTGAATGATCAGAATTCCCAGGTGTATAGT